GTGACGATCACACGGATGATTTCAATAATGGCAAATGAATAAAAAAAAAATATCGAATTTAAGCTTTCGTGACTACAGGGATTCATATTCTTGGTTCTTTCGGTAAAGTCACGTAGAAGATAAATAATAAAATAATACAAATAAAACTATAAAATTCTCACGACGTTTCGATTGCAACCCAAGCAATGATCATCAAGTGTGAAAACCACAGCAATATTTTTTTCTGTGGTTTTCACACCTGATGATGATTGCTTGTGTTGCAATCGAAACGTCGTGATAATTTTATTGTTTTATCTTATTATTTCCATTGTACGTGACTTTACCGAAAGAACCAAGATGATTTTAAAAAATGATTGTGATCATGACAGATGACAATGATATCAATGATGATGATTGTTATCATGCGAGGACTGACTATTCCAGGGCCATGCCTCTCACAATCAATGGCCTTCCTGTATCCCGTACAGTATTATTATGATTCAACACAGTTGCAGTCTCAGAAGACACAGAGCGTTTCTGTGCAGCTCTTAGCAATGCTTTACCAAGTCGGAACGCTTAATAATCGACCGCTTTGCGTGAGCGCTGTCGTTTCGCTTCGAGCTTTGTGTGCGCGCGTGAGCACCGTGCCAGCGAGCAGAGTCTGCGAGTGGCCTGCCCCCCCAATATAAGAGCGCTTTGCTTGCATTTTTTAAGTAGAGCGAAAACGAGGAGCGCGGATGAGCGGAATCACGGGATCATTGCGACGGTCAATCCAGCCGCTGGACGAACGCTTTCCCAAGCCCACTTCTGGGGTTATTGAGAGTCGTTTTGACCATACTTCACCATCACGCTATTGGTCAGTTGATGATAAAGAAGCCCCCCCCCCCTCCCCACACTGCGTAAGGAGACGTGTGGGATGTTGTGATGGATTGTTTTTGTTCCCTTCAAGGATTGTGTGGACTCGCGTTTTGCGTCGTATCGTCTTAAAGAGGATCAGTAAAGGTGTTTTTAAAGTGTTGGTCATCTTCTCCGCATCTCTCCGGCGTGGTCGCTTGTATTGTTTTTGTTTGCATTGGTGTTGTTACATTTAAAATAAGTAATAATTGTAAAAAAAAACTTTTTTCTAAACACGTTTTTATGAAATGTTCTAGTAATGGCAGAACTCCACGACTCCAGGAAGTGGCCCCGAAGCTTGCCACAACGTAAGGGGCCGTGGACAATTACAGCCAACGTGAGTTGAGCGTGGACAATTAGACCCAAGCCGAAACATAACATATAAAAAAGATTGATTACAAAACATTTTTTATGATAGAATATAGTATTGTCATCAGTATGACATAAGTATACCAAGTTTGCCGTCGATACCACATTGGGAAGTGGGTTAAAATTTAGTTACAATATTTGAGGATACAACAACAACAGACAGAGTGAGTTAAATGACAGCGTGTAAAAACTAAAAAAATATCTCTTCCGCCGTTGGTTGTAATCCCTATTACCGGCTTCGGCTGTCCTCAGCGTTGAGAGAGCGGCCCGCGGAAGCCGATACCCTAGAACTACCGCCGAGTCCCCTTTTTACACGCGACCCTTTTGCCAATCCACTGCTGGACTGAATGTCTCCCCCCCCCCCCACGCTGTGTCAGTGGCGAGTTGTAATCTACCATATTTCACACCACGTTGGTCAGATGCGGGTTAGCCAAACGTGAGTTTGAGGAGCATGGTGGTGGCCCTTGAGAGCTGTGGGGGGAGGGGGGGTGGTATCGGCTCGCCACTCACGTTGGCCACGAATCGAAATGAATTCCACCGGGGCTCGGGACTGCAACCCGCTCAACCACTGCGCCACCGCTCCCCGCGTGCGCGCGCGCCCGTTTACGCAATTTTATCAACCGACAATTCGTTGCCGTTCGCCCGTGAGCGCCGGTAGCGTCAACCACGGCGCTTGTGCAGGGCTGGGTACGCCCGGGGGCCACGTGACGTGTCGAAGGCTCGCCGGCGTGAGGTCACAGGACTGACACGTGCGTCAAGGGTTGTTGACCAGCGGCTGGAAATGAGAACAAATTACTCGTAGATGTGAGAAGACATTTCTCATAAATACCCCCCCCCCGCCGCCCCAGCTAGATGTGGGCCGTGCACTCGATGGTGGAGGAGCTTCGCTCCATTTTTTCGACTTTGTGCGCGTTTGTGGGTCTCTGTGTGAGTCTGTGGGTCTCTGTGTGAGTCTGTGGGTATCTGTGCGTCTATGTGGGTCTCTGAGTGTGTCTGTGGGTCTCTGTGCGTGTCGGTGGGTCTCTGTGTGAGTCTGTGGATCTCTGTGCGTCTATGTGGGTCCCTGAGTGCGTCTGTGGGTCTCTGTGCGCGTCTGTGGGTCTCTGTGTGAGTCTGTGGGTCTCTGTGCGCGTCTGTGGGTCTCTGTGTGAGTCTGTGGGTCTCTGTGCGTGTCGGTGGGTCTCTGTGCGTGTCTGTGGGTCTCTGTGCGTGTCTGTGGGTCTCTGTGCGTGTCTGTGGGTCTCTGTGCGTGTCTGTGGGTCTCTGTGTGTCTATGTGGGTCTCTGTGTCTGTTGGTCTCTGTGCGCCTCTGTGGGTCTCTGTGTGTGTCTGTTGGTCTATGTGCGTCTATGTGGGTCTCTGAGTGCGTCTGTGGGTCTCTGTGCGTGTCTGTGGGTCTCTGTGTCTGTGGGTCTCTGTGCGTGTCTGTGGGTCTCTGTGCGCGTCTGCGAGTCTCTGAGTGCGTCTGTGGGTCTCTTGTGTGTGTCTGTGGGTCTCTGTGCGTGTCTGTGGGTCTCTGTGCGTGTCTGTGGGTCTCTGTGCGTGTCTGTGGGTCTCTGTGCGTGTTTGTGGGTCTATGTGCGTGTCTGTGTGTCTCTGTGCGTCTATGTGGGTCTCTGTGTGTGTCTGTTGGTCTCTGTGCGCGTCTGTGGGTCTCTGTGCGTGTCTGTGGGTCTCTGTGTGTGTCTGTAGGTCTCTGTGTGAGTCTGTGGGTCTCTGTGTGTATGTGGGTCTCTGTGTGAGTCTGTGGGTCTCTGTGTGTGTCTGTGGGTCTCTGTGCGCGTCTGCGAGTCTCTGAGTGCGTCTGTGGGTCTCTTGTGTGTGTCTGTGGGTCTCTGTGCGTGTCTGTGGGTCTCTGTGCGTGTCTGTGGGTCTCTGTGCGTGTCTGTGGGTCTCTGTGCGTGTTTGTGGGTCTATGTGCGTGTCTGTGTGTCTCTGTGCGTCTATGTGGGTCTCTGTGTGTGTCTGTTGGTCTCTGTGCGCGTCTGTGGGTCTCTGTGCGTGTCTGTGGGTCTCTGTGTGTGTCTGTAGGTCTCTGTGTGAGTCTGTGGGTCTCTGTGTGTATGTGGGTCTCTGTGTGAGTCTGTGGGTCTCTGTGTGTATGTGGGTCTCTGTGTGAGTCTGTGGGTCTCTGTGTGTATGTGGGTCTCTGTGTGAGTCTGTGGGTCTCTGTGCGCGTCTGTGGGTCTCTGAGTGCGTCTGTGGGTCCCTCTGTGTGTCTGTGGGTCTCTGTGCGTGTCTGTGGGTCTCTGTGCGTGGCTGTGGGTCTCTGTGGGTGTCTGTGGGTCTCTGTGCGCTTCTTTTGGCCTCTGTGCGTGTCAGCGGGTTTCTCTGTTCGTCTAGGGGGGGGTCTACCTGTGAGTCGGGTTCACATTCCCACTCCCACCACGGCGTTCCTGACACATTTCCATCACTGGAGTTGACGCCGCACTGATGTCGACTGGCCGATTCATCAACTTGCTGCGGGTTTTTTTTTTGGTGATCCACCCGGCACCCCCCTCCTTTAATTATTTTTAGTCACTTGATCTTTAATTATTATTATTATTTATATTCACTTGATCTTTAATTATTATTATTATTTTTATATCGACGTGACTTTACCGAAAGAACCAAAGAAGACCCCCCCCCTCCCCGCTCCTGGTTGTGAGCGTCGCTCCTCCGCCCAAGCTTTGCTTCCGACAGATGGCGCCAAACTCGTGCGGAAGACGGAGAGAGAAGACAGAGAGATTGAAGAGAGAATGACCACTTCGAAAGGACGAAAACCTTCTCACACGCTGTGTTCGTGAACAATGGCGGAGCCAGGATTTTTAGGGAGGGTGGGGGTGGGCAACCCCTCCAGCAATGAAACATGATAGAGGAGTTGTTAGTGAGTAAGGAGTTGTGAGCAAGTGAGGGCTTGTCCTTTGCTTTTTATTCGACGCGTGTGCGGCGATGGCGCAGCCGTCGATCGAGGGTCGAATTCGAACCGCGTTGTGTGATCGGCATCGCGCTCGCTGAAGGTGAATGCCTTCAGGGATGTCGTGGACTGTATACGCAACTACGCACAATTCTGTGAGTCACTAATAACCGCTTTGTCGTTACTTATCGCCAATTATGGGCTCAGACTATTGTCCTATCATCTCATAGAGTCCCTGGCACACAATAATAATATGCTACACAGTGGCAGTGGAGGTCGCAAAATGCCGATTTATTGCTAATAAACCCCAATGATCCGATCGAAATGAGGGATTTCGATCGGATCATTGGGGGGGGGGGCACGTGCCACCCCACCCCACCAGTGTTCATGAGTATGTCTTAAACTGTTCGGAAAAAGCTTCGCCGGGGGGTTGGCCACCTTTTGCAAAGACCTCAACCCAGACATATTTCTCGGTCATTCCCAGATTTATCAAAAGCTGCGCAGTTTACTGCGATAAAGTTCAACGCAGCAATAACCATTACCAGGTCTGGGCACAAATCTATTCCCGCCACCTGAACGCCAGATGTACGTTGAACTTCTTTCGCGACGTATATCGCCAACCGTGCTAATCGCATGTGCGAATGCCCTGGATTGCCCGTGCCAAAACCCAGACCGGGCGGTGAGTTGAGTGGATGGGTGAGTTACCGAGTTCCAAAAGCACGTGGCCCAGCGTTGGGCTGAACTTCGCAGCCTTCCAGGGTGTGCTATGTGCGCGCCGACTTAGGAAACTCTCCTACTCCGGGCACATCGGCATTGTAACTCGCGTGACATTAAAAACAAATAAAAGCGTAAACAAAACAAAACCAATTAACGTAAAACTTTATTTATGACGGGAAAAAAAAAGCACTTCGAGACACATTCAGCAATTTCTTCCGGAATGAATACACGCGCAAGATGGTGGCCGAGACAACTTGGGTTGGTAGCTCTACTGTCGCTCACCTCCAGTTTACTGCCCTGAGCCAGTGGGAGGAAAATCCACATTCCCATGACGGGGGCCGGTCTCTACCACAGGACAACCGCTGTTCACTTTCCCCCCGCGCAGGGGTACTCGCATTATCGTCCTCGACACACCCAGGCAATCCAACGTGGGTGTGAAGTTGCGTTACTGAGATAAAATACTTAAAAAGCAGTGGTTTTTTTTTTTGGGGGGGGGGGGGGGATACGGTGGCCCCTCCAATCGGCACCACTGTCACCCCGACCCCCAAGCCCCTCCACAGGTCGCGAAGGCCACAACACAGAGGGGTCACAACCTCCTCGCCTCTGGTCGACGCGGTGTTAGCACGGCATTCGTTTCGCGTTATGTATCCGTGTGTGCAAGTGTGTGCGTGCATGTGTGTCCGTGTGTTTCTCACGCACACACAGATACTGATTCCCCCCGTATAGCTTGAACAGACTGTTGGAGCAAGTGCTGTTAGCGAGCACCTAAGGCAAGAATGGCACGCGAGGGGGTGGGTGGCCACCACCACGCCTGGCCGCCTTTGACTCATCAGCGGCGATGTTTACTACACACCGCACCAGGTACTCATTTGTGGCTTAGTCGACCTAGGGGACCGGTACAGATAATAGTCACTGGTTATTGGTCGCGAGCGGGAATCGAACTCGGATCGCCAGGCTCATAGCGCGGCGCGCTAACCGCTAGGCCACCGCGTTAAGTGACGGTAATGTCACTACAGCGACTGTGCCAGGCTAGGTGCACCTTGAGGCCACGCGAAAGTGTCGACGGCTCGCTGCTGGCAGGAGGTCTCGGGACAGACCCAGCAGTTGCCGTGGGTTGGCCGACTGAGATGACCGGTAGATGAAACCAGCTGTACCCCTGCCTAGCCGAGTGTTTCTCCCACAACAACAACCGCCATTCGCCACTAAGTGGCGGTGACGTCACCACGACGCTTGTGCCAGGCTATGTGCACCTTGACGCCACGTGAAGTGTCGAACGCCCGCTCACACACATAGATACACACATCTTAAAACCTAGTTTACCTCGGCTTGGCAGGGTTAAGCCTCGGCTAGATGCTAGCTTAAAGACTAGTTTAATCTAGGATAGACAGGGCTCGGCCTAGGCTAGATACTCGATTAAACTAATTTTAACCAAGCTAAGAAGTGCTATAGGCTGCATTAAACAACATTTTTTTTTCAATCTCAGCTAGGCAGGGCTCGGCTTAGGTGAGTGACTCGGTTGAACTAGCTTGACCCAGGCTGGGAAGTGTTATGTCAAACCGACTTGGGCTATATGCCGGACTAGACACTAGGCTATATCAGGCTGGAATTGGCTATGACTTAACACTGGGCAGCAACAACAACAACAAACAATGGTGGCTTGAGTGTATTGATTCAGGGCAAGGTGGCTCGGGGGGGGGGGGGGGGGGGGTTTGGGGCAGAGACACCTGGGCTAAACAGGGAGGGTGACCTGGGCTAGACAGAGAGGTTGACCTGGGCTAGACAGGGAGGTGGGCAGCCAGGCCGGTCCGCTAGCCCACGGTGTGACCACAACTGGCGCAACGCTTCTGGCGCAGAGCGTAGCAGCACAGGATGCCCAGGGGAAAGAAGCAGATGGCGAGGAAGATCCCGCAGCACGTGAAGTCGTCTTGCATCACGCCCATCCTGCAGCAAGGCACGGCATCATCATCGACATCGTCGTCATCAGGGCATTCACATCGTTAGCGCGACGACGCCCGCCTCAACGCGACATGAGGCTGGAAATTGGCTATGATTTAAAACTGGGCAACCACAGCAAACGACGGTGGCTTGCGTGTATTGATTCATGGCAAGGTGGCTCTGCGGGTGGTGGGGGGGGGGGGTGCAGAGACACCTGGAGCTATATGGGGGACGTGGGCTAGACAGTTGTTATCGGGGCGACGATGGCGAGCCAGAACGCGGCGCGTGAAGCAAATGGCTCCCGCGTGTTTCGGGTTGAGGAACACTCAAGGCCTTCTCGGGTGAACCTCCCTCAGCGAAGCGCAGAAGAGTCTTGGGCAAAAAAACGTTGAACGTACGGTTAGGACGTTGAGAATTCGGTCGTGAAATTCTCAAGCCGCCTCCGAGCTCCAAGTAGTCAGGATTCGATCAGAACGTTGGCACGTGTTTACGATGATTATGATGATGATGATAATAATAACAGCTTTGCAAACGTGACTATCTTATTGGGTGGTGGAGGGTTGTTGACAAGATTGTTTTTGCGTGAAACAAGCACCACGCGGCCCAAGTCAAAAAACAACCGTGGCTACGGAAACGTCGGCTCCTATCTCTGAAGTGTATCTGGTGAGACAAGGCCATAAGAGGCCAATCAGTTTCAAGGACGATGCAAATAATATGAAAGCATGTTCCATTTGCATGTGTGTATGGTCAATGCAGACTTGATGCCTTGTGATAAAGGGCTATTTGGTGTTTGAACATCTTAACGCCTCCGGTATTCTTGCCATGAAGGGTAAAGCCTATTATTTTTTTCATCATCATCACAAATGAACAAAGTTCAGGCGAGCCTGACTCTCCTGATGAGATACTGAATGTCGAAACCGGTCTGCACAAATTAACTTGCGCTAAACCAATGCTATGATGCACTTCTAGACGGCCGTGTGGCTGATGGGATGTGGGGGGGGGGGAATGTGTTAAGTGCAGGGCTAGATGTGTGAAGGAGGCGTACGGTCTGCTTATAATATGCTCCATCCTGGGTAGAGTTGCCACCTGTCCAGGCATTGGCATCTGTGTTCAGGTCGTACCGAATTCTGGTACCGGTATTGCGTTGCACTTTCCTGCAGGATGTATACCAAACTTGTTTCGCACCATACGTGGCCAAGCGCGCTAAATGGAAGGACACCACACAGGCTTGATAGACCTGGTGCCCCAGAGTTTAACTTCATAAACCGATGCTTCTGGATTAAAATCTGAGCCCCGGAAAGCCCATAGGCCGACGAACTGAACGCACGCGTCGATTCGCGCGTTGCGAGCACAAGCATCGATTTCAATGGACGACTCATTTTTCACGCGGCTCGTCGGGACAGGTGGCGGGGCCCCTGCTCCATCGCAACCAGTGTTGGAAATTCCACGTTACCATGGCGGAAGGCGGGGGGGGGGGAGGGGTGGGGTTCTCACCTGCAGGAAGGGCAGCTTCCGGCCATGATCACCACGGCCGGTGTGGGCTGAGGGCCCGGGGCGTACGCAGGGCCCGCTTGACTTGGGTAACCGAGGGGCTGCGCGGAGACGGGTGGATACTGGGGACCATACTGAGGGGGGTATGCGGCTGGGGGTAGGAGCGGGGGTGGGGGGGGGTGGGCGAGTGAGAGAAGGGGGGTAAGGGAGAGGAAACACGGTGCATAGATTGAGACGTTTTCAAAGCAGATACCCGACTCGAACCGCTTCAACGTAAATCATTCGGAGACGCTGCTGTCCGCCGAGATCGGCCGTACGGATGAAGCAGAAGCCACTTTCACGAGCGTTTATGTCCACGTGGGAGGGAGCCGGGGATCACGTGGAGAAAACCCACACATCGCGGGGAGAAGTGGGGGGGGGGGCAACATCCATTTAGAAGGCTTGGATGACATCAGCCCACACTTGGCCACGCATTCCCCCGGAGAGGCCAGGGGACCCGGCGCACCTCCTCGACGCCCACTTTGAAGGGAGTTTCGCAAAACACTTCCACATCCCGCTGCCTCTGGATTTTGCGGCGACACGTGCGGAGCGTGGCCGCCGCCGCCGCCGCCCCCAGGATCGCCGCTCGTGAAAGATCCGTCGGGTTTTTTTTTTGACTCTCGCTCGCTCGCTCCGGGGTCCTAATCGTGAGGATGCCACGCGCTAAACAAGGCGACGCTGTCTCCGCTAAAAAATGCAAGTTACAACTCGGAACAGAGGCGTCCTCTGTTAATGTTTTACCCCACCACATATGCATCTCCCAAAATTAAACCCCCAAGACGAAGATCCCCCAGCGTGTAGCCTTGACAGACTGTAGGGGCAAGTGCTGTTAGCGAGCGCCTCGTAAAGCCGATTTTTTTACACATCGCACCAGGTACTCATTTGAGGCTCAGTCGACCTAGGGGAGGCGCAGGACCGGCTCGGATAATTGTCGGTGTTGGCTGTGGGCGGGAATCGAAGTTGAGTCTCCGCCGGATTTCATAGCTCAACATGCTAACCACTCCACTCCTACGCACGCACACACCCACGCACAGAGATGCCCCGTATAGCCTTAACAGACTGTAGGGGCAAGTGCCGTTAGCGTTCACGCTCGCACGCACACGTTGCCCGCATGTGTGGACTTTATCTGGTTTCCTTGATCGACGCTGGCTTTCGCAACCACGAAACGTTTTCATATTTATGACAGCTGCCCGATGAAGCCGGTTGTAACTACCAGCGTGAACGTCCGCACGCGGTCGTTGATCATCGCGCAGATCGCTCTCCAACAACACACGCCTGGTGCTGCTACTGCTGCTGCTGCTGAAGCGATGATAATCTGGCACGTTTCTTCATCACGTGACAACTTTATATATTGGCCGTGGCGGAGGGTTTACGACGCAACAGTCTCACCATTGGAACCTCATTTGCCAGTAAAAAATATGATAATGGTTTTTTACTCTTCTATCTGGCAACAAAACTGAAAAAAATGTGTCAGATTTGTTGCCAGATAGAAGGGTAATAAAACAATTATCGACGCAACATCTGTGAAAAAGAGCTTTATAGATCATCGGATTCCTCCAGTATAAATATTTCGATTCTGACATTTCACTTACGCGATCTTAACTCAACTATCAATTGTGAATCATAAATTGGTTGAAAACTTTTTAAATAAAAACCAAATTTAGCCAGAACCTCCCAAAAAAGAGTCCTTGGGCTTTTCTGGACGAAGAAAACACTTATCATTTTGATTATTATTAGGTTATTATATTATCACATTTGACATGCTGTTAGCGAGCACCAATCAAGGTTCGATAGGCTCACATATGAGCTAGGAGGAATAATGGGGCCCACTCAGGCGCGTCATCAGCAGTATCATCAGCAGCAACATCGTTATCTTAATCTTCAACAACAACAGCAGTGGATTATCAGCAACGGCATCCGCATAGGCCAACAGCATTGCCAGCGATGCAAGCAGTGTGAACAGTATTAGCCACAGCTGTCATCAGTTTCTGAGCACAGGCCCCCAATAAAGTCTAATGGCCAGCAAACAAACAGTGCCATAAAAATTGGTGGTTTGCTCGGAAGCTTCGCTCTCTCACTTAACTTTCAGTCCGGATTCCCACCAGAGACCCCCCCCCCCACCCCCCACCATGCCCTTAACTCGCAACCGTTCTTACGGTTGTGGCGAGAGGGAGGGCTGAGGCTAGGGTCAGGGGTCACCGGAGCCCCACGCGGCCCTTTAAGGACCGCCATCTCGGATTCACCACGTGCATTGGTGGCATCTTGAAATATTGAGGCTTGTAGTTGACTAACAGAATTCGAGAACAATCGCTCTTCTTGGTTCTTTCGGCAAAGTCACGTAGAATGGAAGTAATAAAATAATACAAATAAAACGTTATACAATTTATTTTTATTATTTTATTATTTCCATTCTACGTGACTTTAATAAAATAATAAAACATAATAAAATTTCTTTTTATTATTTTATTATTTCCATTCTACGTGACTTTACCGAAAGAACCAAGAAGATGAATCCCTGCAGTCACGAAAGCTTTCAATCGAAACAATCGCTCTATCTGTGTTAAGTTGGTTGCCGACCCGGGCTAGTGTTAGGGCCATAAATGCTAGAGGTATAGTGATTGGATTGTGGCTACGAGAGCTAAGCGTAGTGTTGGGGGATATGGATAGAATTCATGCTTGGGTTGGAGCTCGTGTTGGGGTTAGGAATGAAGTTAGGGATCGAGTTTGGCCCAGGGCTAGGGTTGGTTTCAGAGCAGCGGTGGCCAACTGGCATCTCTCCAGCTGCGTGCGGCTTTTTAGTCCACCACACGCGCTCTATAGAAGGGGCGTAACGTATAACAGACTTAAATTTCGATTTAAAGCTTTCGTGACTGCAGGGATTCATCTTCTTGGTTCTTTCAATAAAGTCACGTAGAAGGGAAGTAATAAAATAATAAAAATAAAACATAATAAAATAATTCTCACGACGTTTCGGCCACATACTTGACAGCCGTCTTCAGGTGGAGAACAGATCTGTCTACTTGACAGACCTGTTCTCCACCTGAAGACGGCTGCTTGCGTTGTGGCCGAAACGTCGTGAGAATTATTTTATTATGTTTTATTTTTATTCTTTTATTACTTCCCTTCTACGTGACTTTACCGAAAGAACCAAGAAGGTATAACAGACTATCACAGTCGTAGCAAAGAATCATGTATCCCGTGCCGTGCCAAAAACTGTTAATATGTTTTCACACTTATATATCCACTTGGCTCTTTACGTAACTCGTGGGCGAGCACCTTTTGGTTCTTGGTCTGTTACGCTTCCGCTTACTAAACGTTTAGTTCACTTAGCAAATGGCTTTTTAAAATGTATTAATAATATTTGTATTTTAATGCTAAGTGTCTGCTGATCGTCGTCATGTACAGTGCTTCGAGATCCTTGATGACAAGCGCGATATCAATGTAATTGTTATTATTACAGGTTTCCCACCTCCTGGTCTAGAATTTGGGCACGGCTATGGCTATGAGGCTATAATCGCGAGGCGAAAGGGCAGAGGTCGCAAACGAGTTTTGATTCATCTTCTTGGTTCTTTCGGTAAAGTCACGTAGAAGGGAAGTAACAAAATAATGAAAATAAAACATAATAAAATAATTCTCGCGACGTTTCGGCTACAACGCAAGCAGTTTTAGCCAAAACGTCGTGAGAATTATTTTATTATGTTTTATTTTTATTATTTTATTACTTCCCTTCTACGTGACTTTACCGAAAGAACCAAGAAGATGAATCCCTGCAGTCACGAAAGCTTTAAATCGGGTTTTGATTCCTTACCCGTACCCGTACCTGGCCGCACCAGGGTCGCAAACGGGTACCCGTACCCATACCCGGCCGGGTACGGGTAGCCGGGTATCGGGTAGGGTACGGGTATCGGGTACCCGATCGTGACCTCTGCTATAGGGCTTGGGTTCAGCCAAGGGCTCGGATATACCATCTCGAGCTCGAGCCAGGGTTTTGGCTCGGACTTGGACTGAGGCTAGGGTTATGGTTAACACTTGAGCTATAATTAAGACTAAGGCTATATAGGATGAAGGTTATGGTCAGGGTTTCAGGGCATGGGTAAATTTAAGGCAAGGGTTAGGGGTTAAGACTGGGCTTAGTGATACAGCTGGGCATACGGTTAGGGGCTAGGCACATGATTTGGGCTATGATTAGGACTATGGTGCCAGGGATAGGATTATGTACACAGGGAAATTAGTTCCATTTTTGCAACATCTCCCTTGTGGGTTTTTTACGTTCATTCGTGTAAACAGATTCCAGCTGCTTGTTGTTAAGAGGAAGATATCCCGGTTTTTTTTAAATACCCCCACGCGTTACAAGGAAACCGGGTCCGCGTTTATAGGAATTCGGCCACGCGCGCAGAAACCCATTGGACGAGCCACGGGGCTAGTGGTTGACACAGTTTGCTGAGCAGCAGGAGGCCCGAAAGGCCCGAAACGTCAAGCGGTCAGCAACAAACAGCAACAACTGTCGAAGTGATGGGCAAGAGTGCGTAACAGAGGTCGCAAACGGGTTTTGATTCCTTACCGGTACCCGTACCCGGCCGCACCAGGGTCGCAAATGGGTACCCGTACTCGGCCGGGTACGGGTACCCGTTCGCTACCCGTACCCTACCCGAAATGAGTGACAAACAGTTACTCACCAGTGACTCACGGCTTAACCGTACCCGTACCCGGCCGCACCAGGGTCGCAAACGGCTACCCGTACCCGGCCGGGTACGGGTAGCCGGGTATCGGGTAGGGTACGGGTATCGGGTACCCGGGTGCGACCTCTGGTGCGTAACAACTCCGTGTCTTGAATTGAGCAAGGTTATGATAAAAGCTCGGGCAAAAGAGGGACGATCGGGGAGGGTTGGAAGGGGGGGGGGGAATTCAAAAGCAGGGCAGAGCAAGAGGAAGTAATATAAGTGTTTTGGACTTCAGTATTGTTGGTGAATCGGTGAGTTAAGTGTGCGAGTTAGTGCATGGGCGAGTGGGTGGGTGGGTGAATGGGTAGGTCATTGAGTGGGTTATTAAATTAATGGTTGGGTGGGTCAGTGTTGTTGTGACCTGAATTGCCACGGTGGCTAGGAGATGTTG